AATTTACAGAAGCTATCAACAATTCACAAGTCCGAGTAAATGCATTTGGTGTGTCTGTTGTATGCTTTTTTCTAGATATACTGACAGGAGAGAGAATCCCAGAATTTCAGATGTTTTACCTCTAACCATGACTTCCCTTCAGCACTGTACCGGAAGGCAACCAACACCTCAGCCACTATTAATGGTCTTAAAATGTTTTCATCCACTTTAACAAATACCACTTTAATAGATACTATATCCAGATTATAAATATGATTAATATATTTTAAACAAAGATTAGCAATATGTCTGTAGTTACTTTGAAACTGCAAACTCCCTATGTAAGAAGAAAGTAAAGAAAATCTTTTTGTGAATGTTTTAGATTCCAGAGGATTCTGCTTCTTTTTCTGCTAGAATCTACCTTAGTAGTAAAAGTAAGTATTTACACTGGAATTAGTTCAATCAGGTGGTCATTTTGTTTTCTGATTGGGTTACCTTTTGGGGAATTAACAGTTTCTGACCTGCAAGCTGATTTGAGGTGCTCATAGTAAGCACCACAGTATTAACACACATGGATCAATACTATAACGATGTGGTAATGTAGCTGGAAAACACATTTTCATAGATCAGTGAGGGCAAAACTGAAAAAAATGTGCTGCAGCACTCAAGAGAGCAAATTCAATATCACAGAAACTGTTTTCTGTCAGTAACACTTGGTACCTTAAGAAAGCTTTTCCAAATATTTGGACTTCTCACTATTGTTACCCGTACATCCATCTTCTCTTAATTTGATTTTTTTTTCCATTTAAGTCATTTGCTGATAGAAATTCCTGGGAATCCTCTGGGGTTAAATCACAACAGTCCTTTTTGACACCCAACATGGAGCCAGGGCATTCGAGATAATGACAGGTTTGACTGGAATGTGCTAGAATGAATTTATAGCTGCTGTCAGTCTTCCTAGCCAACAGTGAGAAATGGACATTGTTTTCTGATCTCTGCTGGACCTCTGCATTAGGATGAGATTAACTGCTGCTGAAAGTACCAAATAGAGAGAGAATGTGCCCTTGGTTGCATTCTTTAAATGCAGCCTTTATTTATACTATGTTGTGTGAAGCCTGCCTCTAGTGATTTCAATCATTTGGTATCATTTGGCTGTTTCCCTTCAGGAAGATGGGACATTGCTGATTCAGGCTCTTCCCGGTTCCACATCTATTAACGAATGACAAGAATATTGTGTTTGATCTTTTGCAAAGCTCTTCTTCTTTTTTAAGAATAAATTCTTTCTTTATCTTTATTGATTTCAGAGTAATGGTTGAACTCAGAGAGAGCCATTTGGGAAAAGTAATATGTAATCAGGAGTGCCACCATGACACTGTCCTGTAATCAAAAATAAAAGATATTTAACATTGGAGGACTCCAGTTTTATCTTCAGAATTTTTGCGCAAACAGCAGTTAATGGAATGGGAGAATGGTTTTGGCGATGTTCTGTATTCTATAATTCATGCCCAAACTGGGCTTTGAGTGTTTTTTTCAGCATCACCTTACTTCATGCCTAGGTATCTCTGCTTTGAGTGCAGAGCTCCGTCTAGAGGAAGCCCATAGTAGTACCACTCCCTTTCCCCCTCGCATGGCCTTTAGGACAGAATGGTGTCCCTGTATGATGGGACAACGATTCTGAAAAGAACTTAGAAGTCTTGGTAGATAACTAGTTGCACATGATCTTCCAATGTGAGGCAGGAACTAAAATGTTTAATGCAATCCTTATGTAAATATAAAAGGATGTTTGAGAAAGGAGCAGGAGGAATTGATGAGGGTTTTCTGTTGTTTTTTTTTTTTTCCCCACCCCTATTTGACATTATAAATGACTGCTGGAATATATCAGTTTCTGGAGCCTACAAGTTAAAAAGGATATTGATGAATGGGAGAGGAATCAGTAGATTGAGTAGAAAACTAGAATTCTTATTAAAAGTAATGTTTATTTTGTTTAGCTGAACAAAAGATGAGCTCTGGAATGAAGGGAGAGAAACCATCAACAACATCATCAACTCCTGGGAAGGACTCAGGACACTGGGCACTCACTGAAACACTCCTCTCAGAAGATTCCAAGAACTGTAGGATGCAGAGGGGCTGGGGAAGGGTAAGCACAACATGAGAGAAAGGGGTAAAAAATAGGAAGTGTGCTAATAATTTTGGCTACATCCTTGTTGGGACTTTTTCTTAATTACTGTTCTTTTCTCTCCATCCCCCCAATCCATTTTTTTTTCTTTTTCTTTCCCCTATAATGATTGCTTCTGGAATAATAGTAATTCTTGGATTAAACTAAGTTAACAATTCCTGACTTTGCAGACAAGGTATTTCCTTTTGCCTATAGCAAGGTCTGTAATGTTAGCAAAACTGCATAAATTTGGGTTGGCTCTTCTTTTGGTATTCAGCAAGACAGTGAGCCACTATTTTTCACCATGCCCTCATAGCTGTTAGGCTACATAAATATATCTAAACCTTTGTTTGTGAATTTGGCTCTCCACTATCAGTGAATATCCTGTGTTAATGAATTCCATAACAGTTATTTGCTGTGTAAAAAAAAATACATCCCTTGTTTAAAATCTCCTACATAAGTTAATTTGGAGTACTTTACTTTTTTTGACTTACAAGAAATAATGAACATCTCACTATGCTCAGTATTTGTCTCTGTCCAGTCACTTCATGTGGCCAGGCTGAAGACGTCTAGTGTTTTCTGGTTTTCTGATGTGGATGGGCTTCCATATTTTCCTCTATCCCTTTAGCACTCTGCTGCTTTTCTTTATGCTTCTTGTTTTATTGCCTGTGAACTTTAGGGGGGACAGTAAACAGTCACAGTTTCCACCCCCAAATAATTTTCCTCAGTCTTTTCCAACAGTGATTATCTGTAGTTCCCTGGCTTGTGACTGTTCCTACTGTAACAATAATCAAAACAGATAATATTCTCTCTAGTCCTTTGCTAACATTTTTACTCTTATAGATAAATCCAAAATAATTCCATTGACGTCAATGGAGCTACTTCAGATTGACATGGCTGAAACTGAAAACATAATTATGATAGCATTAAGAACATCCTGTTCAAGGTGGGTTTTGTTGAAAATATAATTTTAGAAAACCAGGGGGGAAAACCAAAAGCATTTTAAGAGGACAGTACTGTGGCAGGCCTTGCTTCATAATTTTTCAGCTCTTTCCCCATAACATATTTTTATCTGTGGCAGCTTTAATGTACATTGCTAAGGTTGGAATTGCTGCTGATATAATTAAATTTATTCTCCAGAGATCTTACTCCCTGTTAATGCCAGGTATCACTGGCCCTCATGTAGAGTGTGTAGCAGTTAAGCCCCATTATAGAATTAAAAGCTGAAACAACAGGAGCCTTTGTGCAAAGCCAAGTTCCTGCATGGAGCTGGGATGAGAGCTCAGCTGCCCAGTGGCAGGGATTTCCCTGCTGAATGCATTACAGGCATCAGGGTGCCAAGGGCAGTACCCTCATTTCTCTTAGGAACAGCAACCAGTAAAGGCAAATACGTGTTTTTGTTATCCATCTGAGAAGGAACAAGGGCCCTGGATGGAACTGTAAGTGAATGAGAAAAAAAAACAGAAATATTCAGAAAGCAGGGAGATTGACAGTATTTAAATACTGCAGAGTTCGCAAAATAACTTTGTAAAAGAAGTGTAAAAGAGAGCACTTGGGGAGATTGCAAAGCTTGGAAAAGCAGGTTGGATTTAAGGATATATCCTGTAGAAAGTGTGTGTGTGTGGGGAAGTAAAACATACGGATGGCTATACTGGATCAAAAAATATCTGCATAGCTCAGTGTTTGGTCCCCCATAAGGACCATCTAGACAAGAATATAATAGAAGAAACATGGATTAGTAATTCCCAAGAATAACATTAGCTTTTAGCTATTTTGGGGTCAGAAAGTCTATGAGTAGGAATTCATGAGGAATCATTTAATGGATTTTTTTTTTTCCCCATGGATTTGTCCAGAACCAAATAAAATTTATGTACATAGGTTATAAAATAAAAGGAATTTCCTAAAGCATGATTGCACTTTTGGAAATGAAGGCTTACAAATAGAACAGTACCAGGAGTGGATTCTCATGTGGTAAAATCAGACAAACTCCACTGAATGTCACTGCTAACACTGTGTGCAGAAATACCAAATGCCTCACTGCAAAACAAACCAAAGCATGGCATGTCCTGTGTTTTTTTTTTTATTTCTTTAATCTCAGACAATAAGATACAGAAAATAAAGAGTTTTTCTGTCTTTTTTCTTTTTTTTTTTTTTTAATTTACTGTAGTTAGAAGCTCAAAACAAAGGTGTATTTTCGACCTTGAGATGTTTTATCTCCTGCTCTTTGCCTACCCTTGCAATGTTAAAACAGCCATCTTACTTCATTCCTGATGCACTTTCTTCAGAGTTTTTTACTATTTTCTATTTTTGGCATGTTGTGCACTGGAGGAATGAATAAATTAAAAGATAGAGGAAAGTGTCTTTATGCCCAGTATAACTTTCTTCCTGGCTTTCTTTGTATAATTAAATGCTTCCATTTCTAGGATTCCCTACTATTTAGATGGCCTCAGATATGTACTAGAGAGAGCATGTAGAAATTTACACAGAATGCAGTAGAATAAAGTGAAGATGGATGAGGCAGCAGCACCCTTGCTAAATTTGCTCTTGTCCCTAATTTACCCTACTGGTGGGATGTATAGCAGTAACTGCTGTGGGCTTGTGGACAGGTAAACTGCATTTTACCACAGTGTGTGGCGCCAGCGCAGTTTGCCGAGTTTTACCACTAGATGGAGGCAGATGTTGCATGGTTCACATCTAGAAAACTGGGTGAGGTATGACAGCGGCAGCCGTTTTTCTCAAAGCAGAGATCATGTATGTGAATGGAAGTGGAACAGGACCTCAGTGAAGACCATGGTGTGTCTCTGTTTCATGCTGTATTCCCTGTGGGGACTTTGGTCATGAGAACAAGGTACTTTCTGTCAACATTGTGTCTTTCCAGGGTCCTGCAGGTTGACCCAAGTTGGTCGAGCATCCACACAGGATGTGGAGTTTGCTGGTCCCATTCTTCATAGTCTTTAAGGCAGTCTGGGATCTGACCCTCTATTCTGGGATTTCCTATTTTTCTCATACCTCAAGACACCTGTGCCCTGAGAATGATATCCACTTAGCACTAGCAACTTCATCTGTGAGTTTCATGTGGAAGAAACCGCTAGTAACTGATTAGAAAGATATTTTTTTCTCTGCCTATCACACAGGCAGGAATTATTTAATCCCTTATTGAAATTCCAAAAGAGAAAAAAAAACAAATATTAGACAACAGAGTATACAAGTTCAGGGCTTTTTTAATTGTATAAAGTGCACTATAAATCAATATAAAAATTCAGGGAGAAAAAGTGCAGTTCAGGAATTTACTACTTTAATTAGCTAGAGGATTAAAGTAGTTTTAGAACGCCAACCAGAATTAAAATTGAATTGGAACATCAAAGCAGCCAGATGTGAATTCTTTGGTCTTTTTGAAGCATTTTCTTCAAGAGTTTGATGACTTTTTCCCTGTGGGAAAGAAGCACAAAACAAGAGAGTGTGCTGAAAATGGATAATGCAGACAATTGTGTTTTAATCCTAGTATCCCTCTAGCATGCCCTCAAGAAGGTGGTGCCTAAAGAAAAACAAACCTGGCAAAGTTTACCCTGTGTGGTCAGTTCTGGTTACGCTCCACTTCTACTGCTGAGTAGTTTCTGCCTTCACTGAACTGTCCCTTGGCTTTGTAAGTGACACAGTATCTCACATTTCCCTGTCAGTAGTCCCACTCACTGAAACAAGTTGTTTGTAGAGCACAGTGCACAGATTTGTTTGGCAATATGTAGTTGTGCAGAAAGACAGTGTGCCAGAATGCTGCGCTACTGCTTCATCACCTCTTGGTTGTAGTGGGGACATTCTGCAGAAGGAGCATAGTGGATGGAGTATACAGGAATGTTTTTTCCAAATCTGTTCCCCTTCTCTCTTTTTGGTAATACGACAAGGCCCTTGCAATTAGGGAGAGTAATGAAACCTGTAACCCAGTAAATTTTATCTTGAAAATCAAATCTCATAATGAATTTACCGTATAACCTCTGAATTCCTCGCCTATCATCCTCTGAAAGCCTGAAGGTTGCTGGGTTCACATATGAGTAGATAGGGTACATCAGAGCTTCACGGACATTTGAATGAGCAAGTCCCAAAGAATGGCCGAATTCATGAGCAGCAACAAGGAACAAATTAACTTCTGCAGCATAGAAGCATAGAAAAGTTCTGTTAAAGGTATGCAATTTCTTTTTAGCGTACAAAGAATCGAAGTAGCAGGAGAATTTATATCTTTCATTCCCTTGGAATGAAACATTGAAGTTTTCATTGGTTATTACTAAACTTTGTTGTACAACTGTAATATTTAAATAAAGACATTATTGATCCCTTGCATATGCATATAGAGACCTTGAGTCTCTTTTCAACTCCGGTTTTGAACAACCTTATTTCTACAAGCAAATCATTCTACCTTTTCATAATGTAAGTACAGAGCAGAGGCTCATAGTCCCTGTTCAGCCTGTGAAAAGTGATTTAATATATGGAGGGAAGGCATTATGTAACTCCTAATGATAACGAAGTAGAAGTACTTAGAAAGGTAATTGAAAAGAACAGAAATGTTGGCACTGAAATGGTACCAAAACATGAAGTGTTATGGAAGGCGTTTTCTATGGCTGTGTTCTTCCAAGATGTACAATGTTTGTCTTTCCCCTTCATACACACATGTAGGTTTTACCTTGATTGGACTCTGACCATATTTCGTCATCATCAAAATGAGCATCTCCACCAAGCCCTTCTCCAGGTGCAAATGCATGAGCTAGTGTGTTACCTCTTCCATCAAAAGGATATCCATCACCGTGCTCTGCATTTGACAAGAACAACATGTAATCAGATTACATCAACTGTAATGTTTAAATTCAGAAAACTGAAGCACATTGCTTGCTTGTGCTAATTTTGTTGATTGTCAGTCCTTATAAAAAGTCCTTTGATAGCAGCAAGGTGGTAAAATTGAGGAGCAAGGATTAGGAAATACTCTTCAAGTTCATGACTTAAGTTCAAAACTTATATTTGATAATTCAGACTGTAAACTTGCAAAGTTTCAGAAAGACCTGAATATTTTTCTGAGCTTTTGTCAGAAATGTGGTTCTAAGGCAGCAATCAGGGATTATTTCAGAATAAATACTTAATGCTTGACAACATTATAAGCACCCAAATGGCTTCTAATGTTGGAAAGTACCAAGCAACATTAATTGTAGACTTTCTCACTTGTACTGATTTTAGTGGAAGACAGTGATTTTGGATAAATAACCATGTTCCTGAGGAGTTAAGTTCATTTACCCCAGCCTTGGGGTATGGTCTATTACCTGCTTCTCTCACAGTGCATGTGGAATGGTACGGTTTCCTGCCTCAAGTGCAAGCGCTGACAGGATGGCATATTTGTACCAGCTGTGAAAATTTCCCTGTACCCCTTGGTGAGCCTCCGAGTTGATCGAGGGGTATCTGGGGACTCAAATGCCATTCTGTGTCCTTTCCCCCCGACCATGTGGACGGTCCTTGAGACAGGGCTAGCACAGGAGAAGACACTTAGTTGTAGTGTATGACAAAGAATTAAAACCCATTCCAGCTTGCAGGATCTTTTTTCACTTTGGCTCATTAGTTGACTCTTAATGGAAACATAATATGCTTCCCATCAGTGAAGCATGAGTTTTTGACATTTTGGTGTTTATATGCAGTAATCTATTTGTAAGCTACGTGTCTGATCTTCACTCACAATCCTAGTAAGAGACCTAGTAAATGCTGTCAATGGCTCTAGAGAACAAGTCAGGTAATCTTAAAGTAGGCATTTAGTATGACTAAGTTGAGTCAGTTTAGGTGACAGGCTCAAGTGAAAGGCATGGCTACATTCATGTACTAGTCTGGATCCCAGGTGAACTTCTGAAGTGCCTCTACTGATCATCTGTATTTGCCATGTTTTGACTTGCACCTTGCTGTAATCCTGCAGTTCAACAATGGAATTCCTTCTAGGAGAAAATCAACCAGAAGATACTCTCTGTGGCAAAACTTCATGCACCGCAGCTGCCAAAGACTGTTTAGTCCAGGGAACCAGACTAGATCTGGACCAAAGTAAACCCGCCTGAATCCAGCCTGTGGAGGCTGCATCTTCAGGACCAGCTGATTTGCTTTACAGCTCTGTTCCAATTAGTTTGCACTATTTGTCAAGGCACACAGAGACTTGAACACCTAAATTTAGGTGTCTTCTCATGGACCTGAATTCTCCCTCCATTTCACAGCTTTAACTCTGACAGGATTTTTTAATGGTTTCATAGGGATAAAAGATGAATCACAATTTATAAATGTAGTGGCTAGATGAAGAGAAGATAAATTTCATGCAGACTTTGGAATAATTTGAAACTCTTTTTTCTTTCTTAAAGCTGTGGCCATAAAAATACTTAGAGTTAAATGTGGACCAATGCATCTTAAAAATGACAGGTATTCTCACCTCGACGTGCAAATGCAATCACAATGTCTGCTTGCCTGTTGTATACTCTTTGGAACCGCAGGGGAGTCACATCACTCCATACCATGAGAGCCCTTCTAATTGCATCATCCACTTTCTTTTGGGGTAGATCAGGAGTATAATTGACAATCCTGGCAGAAAAAGGAAAGAGATTAATGTCACTTATGTTGTGAAGGAAACCCACATAGTTAAATACAAAGCAACCCCTTTCCCCTTAAAACCTGAAACATCACTAACTTGTAAGTCAAATGTCTCTTGTTCCACCTTGGACTTCCAGGAAATGTTTTGTAATCCGCTATATCAGGGATTCCACATCTGGGCTGTTTAATTGTTTCTACTGTTTCTGCATTTAATTTTCCAGTTACAGTCAGGTGGAAAAACCTCTGCATTTCTTTAATCCTGTCTTCTAAACTTTGGTTTTGTGTTTTTGTGAGAAGTGGAAAGAATTTATCAAGATATGCCTGAAAGAAGAAAAGGAAAATAAAAATCAATATGTATATCGGTGGACTTTTTGGTAATTGCATTTTACATTTGGTTGAATTGTTTTGTCATCATGGTTAGTTTTAGATTTTTTTTGTTACATTTCAGTTTACAAAATGCTGTTCTCCCCGTAGTATAGATTAGTATATGTAAAAAGAATTGTAATAGTAGTGAAACACTGTAAGGAAGCAATCTTTTTAAGTAAACACAATTTACTGAGCATTCAAATCCTCTGCCTTCCAACATAGTCTACATAAATACTTTAGAAATGTTTTAAAAATGACATGCTCCCCTTTACCAGTTGGAACTTGATCTCTTTTGTAAGTTAGACTGGGGGGGGATGTCTAATCTAGTCAATAAGTTTAAATTGTTTCATGTCATCTCTGCAAAAACTATTGTGGTAACTTAAGAAGATAATATAAACAGACAGGAAAGGAATGTAGAAGCTGAATAAAAAATCAGATTATTCACAATACAGTTACATTGCCCCCCTAATAACATACCTTTACATTATCAAAGTCTGTGTTGCTCTGTGATTCTGATTGAAGTTGTGCTGGAAAAGCAAGACTCTCAGGTAGGAGGATGGCAGCACAGAGTAGGACATATTGCATAGTGCCCAGCTTGCCAAGGAGCCTTGCTATAGCAGAAAGGGTTTGACTTTCTGTCTCCCAAGACCACAGCTAAATTGCTTATATAGATCCTGATAGCTCGAAGAGGCAGTTACATGTGACTCACTTTTTGGTGGTGTTAATGGTATGTCATCACTATTCTAAGAAGTAAATGAAAGCATGTTAAACAAATCTTTTCTTTGACTTCCCTGTTGATATCATGTCACAGCTCGAAGACATCTTTGGCTCAATCTTTTCATATTATTCCAGCAGTGAAACCACAAGGTCATAGGGAAATTCACTTTCTGTAACTTCATCAATGCAGTTACTGTATAATCACTGGCTTCTTCCAAGTTCCTTATATACAAAGTCATTCTGTAACAGCCTGTTGGCCAGACAGCCTGCCTGTATTAATTGATGCAGAGTCAGAGATGCGATGCATAAGGGCACTCACTGAAACTACTGGTATTTCCTAGGAAGCATGCACAACACTCTTCAGGTATTTTTTTCTAATCAAAATTCTCTTGTGAGTTATCCTATGCTGCAGGAAATCCAGTTCAGTGACGTTAAAGAGGTTTCTGCTGGTTTTACATAGTTAAGAAGAGAGCTCTTTAAATATGCCCTCTAGAAACAGGAAGCCATGGGAAGCCTTTGTCCCTTTCTTCCCAAATGAGCTGGCCTTTCAGGAGAGTCTTTTTACAATGGAGAACTAGATATAGAACATAATTTACAATTACAGGTGAAAGCCCTCAGGAGAAAAGAGAGGAGTTTATCCTAACAAAGGTGAAGATATCTTCTACCTCCAGTTGTACCAGTGCAATCTGACAGTGTCAGAAGCACTGGCAGCTGAGCAGGGCAGCTACAACCTCCCTGGTCCTCTGATAGCAACACTGGTCTTGGCCTCAGTCCACCAAACCCCACTAGAAGTGAGTTTTTGAGGCCTGGAAACACTAGTCCACAGTCTGGCTTGTGAATTTTTTCAGGCTGTGCAGTTTTGTGACCATATTACTTTTAATCTAAAAGAAAAAGCAGATAAATGGGAAAACAGCATTACTGTTTCTCACAGTAAGACAGCTTGTATGGATATAGCTGAGCATGTGTGGAAAAGTCTGTGGGTTACTAGCTTAAGTCCAATGTACTTCTGACTGGCATTTGATTTCAAAGAGACTTTGATTTCAGAGAGATTATCTACACCAAAACACTGCTGAATTACACGAGAGGACTGCATTACACAGTAGTGTCTTTCAGACAATTGCTAAAGGAATGATGCTTCCACTTGATACTGAAAACAGCTGAGATATCCACTGTAATCATTTCTGTACATTTAGGTAGGCTTATGGAAAATCCATCAATGTCCAAATTTTAAAGCTTAATGAAAAAAAGCTGGTTTACTGTTAGAGGCAGGTTCATCTTCCTCAAAAACTGACTGTATGTCTGACTGTGGCAGTAAAGCAGGATCTGGACCCGGGGGTGGGAGGCAGGAGATGAGCTTGTGTTTAAACCACTTTGAACTCCATGACTCTGGCATATGGTACTGATTATTTCCTCATATTACACAAGAGGAATTTGAAAGCCACCAGAGCACCATTCCAGTTGACAGACTATTGTGCAACACACATGTATCTTTAACCAGGGCGTGGGCAAAACTGAAAAGGAGAGTTTAAACACAATAGCTTGCTGACAAAGGACAGGTGTCATGCTCCATCTTATTTTCTGATGGAAATTTGTCAGCTCCCCCCCTGGGTTTTTTATTTTTTTGGTTTTTGTTTTGTTTTGTTTGCTTGTGTTTGGTTTTTGGTTTTGTTTTTTTTTTTTTTCAAAAAAGAGAGGAGGGTTTCAATGAACTTTGGGCTTGAATTACAATAAAAAACTTTCTGTGAAAAGAATTTTAATTTCTTCAGTTTCAAAATCATCAGGAATCAATCTAATTCTAATAAGACCATTATCAAAAGGAAACAGATGCTGATTTTCAGCTTTAGCTCTGTGAATTTTGCAGATAACTCTATGGCTTCTGCACTCTGTTTGCATAAATCTTATACCTGAAGCAGTCCTCTGGTACCTGGATTCCAGGGCTACATATCCCTTTTGCAGGCTGTGTGAGGGTAAAAACCTCCAGTCATCCCTGCCTAGGAACCGAGATCCTACTGGGGTCCCTTGGCCCTGGATCAGCCCATCACTGGAGAGAGTCAATCCAATTCTTGCCTCCTGTTTGGCTGGATCAATGTGCATAGAGCTATTTCCCAGCAGGATCTAGCTCACATCCCACTGTTCTAGTGGATGAAAGGCCTGAGGAAGGGATTAGGTATTCAAATTCAGCAGAAATGATGTGGTGAGAACTAACACATCCAAGTCATTAATAATTAAGCAATCAAACAATGTATCTCAACTTGGGAATTTCCCATCTTCTTATAGTATCTAGAATTGTTTTGCATTTAATGACTTTGTATTTACAGCAGTTTAATTGGGACATTGTGTGGGAAAAAGATGTAAATATAGAGATTAGTTTTTACAATAATAATCTTGAGCAATAAACCACCAGAGAAATGACCTTCCTGTAAATATCTGTGTTAGTTCTGACATCCTCCATTTTTTAATTTGTCTTCTCCTTTGGCCAATGAACAGGTCTCTCTTTCCTCCAGCTAACAAATACATGTGGAACCCTCAAAATTTTTCATGCAATAATTTGCTTTATTAAATTTAAATTGAAGTCATTAGATACAACATTTAAGTGCATTCAGTTGTTTCTTCCTCCAGAAGTGCATGTACAGGAAGGGAAGAGGGCAGGAGGTCACCAGCTGCATTTCACTGCACTGTGGATCCACAGTTTGATGGTCAAGAGCAGTGGCATAACCTCCGATAGTCACCTTTCATTTGTGAATTCCCTTTTTGTAGCTGGCTGTCCCTGCTCATTTTTACGTCTGGCTCAACACTGTCTTTAAAGGACTGAGCCAAGGTGCAATCTAAAGCCTTTTGTGCATCCTGTCTTGACAAAACCATATCCCTTCATGTAGAAAACCTTTAGCTTAGTACTTGGACTAAGGCAACCTCTGACTGCCTTTAACCCTGCAGCAGATCTCTTTGATAAGCAGCAAAGTCCTTTCTGAATCAGACTGCTCATATAATGGTGTTTCAAGGGCAGGCAGAGAAGCCGTGACAGCATGGAGAGGCATGTTGCATTCAGTCTGTCCACCCTAATTGTAACCTAAACTAATGTCTGAAGCTCTTCCTGACTCATCCTGAGGTCTGCACATGCTGGGCCAGCACAGTGAGCTTGGGCTTTGGTGATGGTGAAGGCCAGGATTTGAAAGGCAGGGTAGACACAGCAGGACTTTACCTTCTTGTGCTTTTACCTGTGCTTGGCCTAACAAACCTCTACATGTCTTTGGAAAATGTGCTGGGAGCATAAATTAACATTAACCAAAATATTGCATTTGCTTGGTTTGCAAAACCCTGTTTCTGTAAAAAAATAAACAGCCCTGAAACACCAGAGAGCTGATAGACTTCATTGTAAACTGACATGCAGTAAACAATTCAAGAAGAATTACAGACTTACCTACCACTGGGGGTTTATGCTCTGGTATAAAAGGTGTGAGATTGAATTTGAATGCGGTGAATATAAGACTGGTGCAGAAGCTTGGTTTACCTTAGGTGTGTTGGAGGTAGGAGGATTGCAAAACACTGAAATTAGCCATACATGAACACATTGGTAAAGAAATCTTTTACACCTTTTGTTTTTTCCCCATAGAAGTTGTGAAGTATTATCATGCTGTTGTCTCTATTCAAATGGTTCTTAATTCATGCTGGAAGCTCTTTGCTGGTCAGACAGGTCCTCTGGGTGTGGGGTGGGTCCTTTCTGTGTCTGATTTCCAGTAACTGAGTACAAAGATAATAACATCACCTTGTTGGTAAACTTGATTATACCACTGAGATATTCTTTCACCAAAAGTTTCCTTCCTTGAACAGAGCTGCAGCCTGTTTCACACAAAGTTAAGTTATGCCCAGTTTTCCAGCATGGTAGATTTTGACTTTGCACCTTTAAAAAGCAATACAACCATAAAAAATCTGCATAACCAAATAAGGACCACTTGCATTTGGGTGCTGAAGAGTGAGTCATGAAGAAGCCTCTCTAACTTTAGAACACTTATTCACATAGCTGCTCACTAGCCCGAGTGGTTGCTTAATCAAACCCATGTGAGCTACTATGTTTCACTCCATTTCTTTGAAACTGAAGGATAACATTGACCTTTACTGCATTTAACTGGATTCCTAAAATTGCTTGTGTTAGTTATGGCTTCTGACTGCCTATTGACCACTGTCTGCCATCAGGAGCACTTAACTGAGCAGTTCAGATGTTGCTACTTACCTGATGTGTGCTATTTCCCACCCCACTGACTGTTATCCTTTGTTATAAAGAGCCCTCTTATTGTTGCTGCATGTTTTAATAGTACTCCTGACTCTATCTAGGATGCATTTATCTCAGATCTTTCTGCAAAACTACAGGAAGAAATACAATCAGATACAGCCACAAGACCTCTAATTGTTGTCTTTACTCTGTAATGATGAATATATAATTTAAAGGCAGAAAAATGGTCATTAAAAATGTTTGTCTTGTGAAGACAATAGATTCTTGCATCATTGCCTCAAAGAGATGAGAACACCCCCTCTACTTTTTCTTTGGTTTTTATTTGCTTTTTTTCCTTATGGTCTAATATTTTACTTTTCTACATTTCAGTTTATTTTTTTTTTTTCTCTCAGAAGGTGTCTTCTCTAGGTTATATGCAATTTTCCAAATTGTTACAGCTACTTCCAACCAAAAAAATATTTGAAAAGGAGCATGTTATAACAGTGTACAAAATTTATATAATACATATAGACTTGATAGGTTTGCAGCTGATTATAGCAGTTTAACAGTATCTAATTTGTAAAAAGCTTAATAGATGCATTAATACACGCACACATGGTGGCATGCTTTTTGGCTCAAGACCGTATCAAAGGGGGACAGTTTTTTTAATGTCCAGCTGATCCCAGTGGACTGGTTTCTGAAACATACTCAGGTCTGGAGTGAAACACTCCCGGAGGCATACCCAGTGCCCTGGCCTTTGAAACCAACTTGAAGTCATTACATTTTCTTCATTGCCAGGTGATTATGGCTGATCACAGGTCAGGAACAATAGGCTTTTGTGTATTTTAATCCTTTATGTTCCTTCACATTAGCGTGCAACAGAAG